ATCTTTGCATCCAATTGCTAGCCACTTCATGCTCTACCTCCAGTCTGGTATTGAAATTTTTCCTTTCCAGCTCCCATTTTTCCTTTTCAATATTGGATTCTTCCATCTTTTGGCCTCTGACTTCAAGTTCAGCAATCAACTGGTTCATTTCAGATTCAAATCCCTTAAACATGATATTTTTCTCGCCTTCAAATTTATCAAAGATGTCATTCTTTATCTCTTCTAAATCTTTGGCTCGATCCCTTTCTCTTTGCATTCCATTCATGATCTCACGGTGTTCAGCCTTGTGCTTTATAATTCGCTCTCGTCTGTCGACCTCAAAATCTTCCATTTTTTGCTTTCCTTTTTCCAGGCTTTTGAGTAGACGGCTATTCTTTCCTTTCAGATCTTCAACTCGTCTTTTCTCGATGTTCCATTCTCTGGTCATCTGTACCGTCGATTGGCTGGGTCCTGATGCTTTTCGGGATTTATATAACTCCTGGTAATTTTTCTGTAAGGCTCTGTACTCATCCTCACCTTTTTCTTTATCTTTTCTCAACATTGCACATTGTGATGAATGAAAGTCAATGTCAACCCCCAACATAGCTTTATCTTGTCTCATTTGCTCTAATTCTTTCGACCAGCCTTCTCATTTTGCTTCAAACTCATCTCTCAGGATTTCAATCTCTGATGGAACCACCTTGATGCGATCTTCCATAGAAATATCCTCATTTTGATCTGGTAGAGGAATATTTTCGTTTTTCCTGACAGATCTCCATTCTTCATAATCAGGAGTTAACATTTCTTTTGCTGCTTTAGCTCGGATGCAAAAAGTTGTTTTCCAAGCTGTAACGGCTTCCATGATGTTTCTTTTATAATTTTTGCTGTGGAATGCGAACTCAGATGACTGTAATCCAGCAGTGATAGGTACAAATTGACGACCTTCATACTGTCTTATAACCAGAAGTGGTGCATATCCAATTCCTCCCCATAATCCAAGCAGCATTATCCAGTTGTAATCTCCACATCTGTAAAAGAATTCCCTTTGGATTTGCCACGGGGCGCGCCAAACAACGTCATTGTTTTGCAGATTTCGAAAGGCATTAATCCACATATCTTTCTTAATTTCTTTCGGCCATTCCTGCTCTAGAAATTCTTTTAATGGTGAGTAATCCGTATTAAAGCGTCGGTATGAAACCTTTTCTGTCCTCCAGAAATGACTACGGATCCAAACATATAACAACTGGGTACACCCTGAGAATCGTCCACCTCCTAGCCTTCTGCAAGCATTTAACGATCTGAAGGTCTCTGCTAGGATTGCAGAAACAGGATTAATTTTCTTCGGTAGCTGTTCAAACAAGTCTACCACTGCAGCTTCAACATATCCCAATACTTTTGGGAAGATGACCATACCATATATACCCAGAGCAAATAGATCGAATCGTACTTTAGCGTCTGGATGACTCTGAATAAGCTCTCTGATGTTGGTCCAAGCAATGCCTTCGCTTTCGCCTTTTTGTTTTGTACGGGATGCTACCCATTCTTCTCGTACCCCAGCAATCTTTTCTAATTTAACACGAAAGGGTTGAGTTTTAATTGACTTTGAATATATTCGATTCTCCAAAGCACCTTCAAGATGTAACAAAGTTGTATATTCTTCAATAGTAGGGACCAAGTCCTCCTTATTGAAAGTGAAGCAATTGTACCCTGGATTCCAGAATTGAACTAGGGCTCTGAGTAATTCATCATCAACTTCAACATAGAGCAAATATGGGATGTCTCCGTAAGTCTGATAAAACTGCAATTTTTTGTTTGAATCCCAACTTTCCCAAATGCTTCGCAAATCTTGCAAATCATTTCTTTTTAGTGAAACTGAAGCATAACTGGCCAAGTCAGATACATAATCATCCTGCAGACTGTCTCCTTCTTGTCTTTGTAAATCCTCAGCCCACTGTCTTACTTCTGAGTTTAGAATTACTTGACTTGAACACTTTTTATCCATATGAAGGCTTTCCAATGAGACAATTAACACAAGGATCAATGTCTTTTATCCTGTATGATGCAATGCAAACAGAAAATAAAGAACACACAAAAAGAAAATAAATTAGTTTACATAATAAAGAAATTTAATAATAACATTTACATAAATATTCTTTATTTAAACATGCTTTTCTGAATTTAACTAATTTAAATAAACATGTAATTTAATCAATAAATAAATTAACATGAAAATCAGAATTCATTTCTCCTGTGTGTACACCTATTTTGGACAAAATTTCGGCATGACTTCTGATCGGAAGAGTTTCTAAGGTTTTTTATATGCAGGATTTCAGATCTAGGAGTAAAGGTACTCGAATTGTCCATGTTAGTGCCCCCTTAGGCTGCTAACCCTCAATCCTAGTCCATCACAGACTAAAGTGGATCGAGTTCAATTCAAGGGGATACATTTCTCTATGCCTGACACGGAGAATAAATTCTCACGAAGACATAGAGCATATGAACCCCGAAAGTTACTTGCTAGGTCTGACACGGAGAATAAATTCTCACGAAGACGTCGCTTTCACTCCCACTTAAAAGGGACAACTCAATTATAGAGCTTTATGTAATGCAATGCAAGTGTTGTGTGTGAGGAGAAATGTTCAAACCTTCGACAGAAAAATAAATAATGAAATAAAATACTTGCAAATAAAATAAAACATATAAATATTATGAAAATAATAAATATATATAAAAAATTTAAAAAGAAAGAATTAAAAATTAAATATATGAACTTTTAATTTTTAATTAATAGAGACAATTTTATAATTGATTTTTAAAAGTTTGACCAAGTCCCCAGCGGAGTCGCCAAGCTGTCGTAACCGGTTTTCGTCCGGGCACGAATTTATTTGTTTGGCGGGAAAAGTGATGTGAATAAATGGTTTTGAAAATAATTTGGGAGTCGCCATCGGCCTTTTGGGTCAGGTAGGTCGAATACCTAAAAAATATCTTTTAAAAGAGTTTTTAAGAAAACATCAATTAAAAGATAAACTGATCTGCGTTTTAACCAAAAATTCGTTCTTTTTAATAATAAAAAGGGATTCGTGGTCGGTTACGTTTAGGGAAGGATTAGCACCCCTACAACGCCCAAAATTGGTACTTTTTAATTATAAATTGTCTCTATTATTAAAATTTTAAAAATTCAAAAATATATTTAATTTATAATCCTATTATTTCAAAATTATATAAAAAATATTTATTTATTTAAAAATATCAGAAAAGAACTTCTAGGTGCCTTAAGACAACTCTTTTCTTTGATATTGATAAATATTAATTTAAATAATATTGTTTAATTTTAAAATACCAGAATAGGACATCCAGTTGTATTAAGACTGTCCTTTTCTTCGATATTAAAAATAAATATAAAAATTTAATTACTATTTATTATATATATATTTATGAATACATAAAAATATTTAAAAATATAAACAAGTAAAATTAAAACAATAAAAATACAACTAGAATGATATATTTAAAATAAATGAAAACATTTAAAATAAATGACTAGATTATAGTAAAAATAAAATTAAAAAACCTAATTCATAATAAATCAAAATATTAGGGATTAAACATGCTATTTCTTTATTTTATTTATTTAGTGACTAAAATAAAATTATCTAAAATTTGGATATTATAATAAAATAAATTAAAAATATAAACTAGGAATTAAAATATTATTTATTAAAATTAAGGGATTAATTCTGTTATTTATCCTAAATATATTATTTTAATAAAAAGGACTAAAATAAATAAAATTGAAATTCGAAAACTGAATTACAACGTTTAGAAGTTAATTTCAGTGACTAAAATGAATAATTACAAAACTCGGATGGCTGCGGAAAGGGTTTGACCTTAATGGAAATTACAGAAATACCCTCCCCAAAACGACGTCGTTTGGGAGAGGGTATTTATTCCCTAAGCTGGCTGGCCCTACGGGCCAGTTTCTCATTTCTTCAATTCTGTTCTCTCTCTAACAGAGAGAGAACAAAAATGTTCTCTGCCTTCTCTCTAGCTTCCCTCACCGGAGGGAAGCCGGTCACCGGACGGCAACCGTTTGCCGCCGTGACCATCACCGCCGGCCACCGCATCTGGTGGCCGGAAAATTTTATTTTTCCACCATTAAATAGATCGGACCGTCCTAAGGACGGTCCCGGTGTTCTTTTCTTCTAAATGGCTCCTAATCGGAGCGAATCTAAAGAATTACCTTCGATTTTTCGAAGGTTTTGGTGAGATCCGGTGGTCGGCTTCCTCGGTAAGGTTCTCTTCTTCCTTTTTCTTTCTTTTCTGTTTCTTTGCTGCGTTTGTTGTTGAGATCGTTGGTAGTATTTTGTATTTTTTTTTTCGGTTTTGTCTTTCTGGGATCTGTTCTCTTTTTCTTTCCTTTTTTTTTTCTGTCTCTGTGTCTCTCTGTCTTCTTTCTTTTTTCAGGTTGGGGTGGTGGCTTTTATAGCCACCACCGGTGTGGCCGTCGGACCGGTCCGAAGATGGGGTCTCAGTGAGTCACCGGACTACCAGTGGTGACTCACCGAGTAGCCATAGCGTGGACGGCTGGTATTCTATCTTCTGGAGTCTTCGGTTGGGACGTGGCAACGGCGGAGGCGGCGAGATAGCAACGGCGGCCGCGTGTCCCTAGGGTATCAGACCCTAGGGTTTCCATCTGGGGCAATCTAGACCGTTGGATCTTGCCAGATCCAACGGCTGTGAGCTGAGGTGGCTGGTTAAATTAGGGTTAGGAAACCCTAACTGGAAACCCAAATATTTAGGGTTTCTGGTTGGATCTGGACCGGTTCTGGTTGGTTTGTAACTGGGCCGGTCCAGTTGTAATTGGTCTGTAATTATTATTATGTATTTAATATATTTAATAATAATAATAATAATAATAATAATAATAATAATAATAATAATAATAATAATAATAATAATAATAATAATAATAATAATAATAATAATAATAATAATATGGATAAAAAAATTAGTATCTTCACCAGACATTCCAGCTTTAAGACAACCAGAAATAACATCAACAGATCGAGACCTTGGACCTAAAGTTCCCACTATCTTGGTCATTACCGGGAAAAAACTCTGTAAAGAATACGAACGAATCAGTTTCCAAATCTACCAGGATCCGATCAGATTCCCTGGGAAACTGAAAACCCTAAACAGATTAACTTGAAAAACAAAAGGGAAACTTACATCCTTAGATGGCTCCAGGATTGAAACCATCCTGATTGGCTAGTCTAAAACGCAATTTCCTTCAAATCTAACATAAACCCAGAAGAATTTATTAAAATCCAAGAAATCCCACAAGTTCCCAATTCAGAAACATTAGAAAGTAACAAATCAAAGTTCTACCACCAAGCGTAAAAATTATGCGTATGAGAGGAGGAATATGGGTGTTATAGATGCATAGATGGAGTGAGTTTACGGTGCAAAGTGGATGGAGAAGAGGAAGTAACGGAATTGAAAGGAGCTGGTTGTTCTTTCATCTCCATATCTTGAGTCATTTTTGAGAACCTGAAACAATTTCAAGGTTCAAATTGATTATCGATGGGGGAAGAAGCGGGAGGGATGAAAATAATGGTAGGTGGAAATTAAAATACGACTCCTAAAGATGACACACAATTAAAACTATACTCCGTGTTTTTGTAAATATTTTGGATTATGACTATTAAATATGACACACATTATTGTAAGTCATAAATCGTTCAGATTTTAAAAAACATGACATTTTTTTAATGACACACATGTTTTGCAAGTCATAAATTAGCATGTTTCATCGTTCGTGTGTCATTAAAGGTATATTTTCTTGTAGTGATAGATATGACCTTTTGCGGCGTTTGTTTCAAAAACGCTGCTATAGATCTGACCTTTTGCGGCGTATGTTCCAAAAATACCGCTATAGATATCAACTTTTTGTGGCGTTTGTTCCAAAAACGCTACTATAGATCTTGAACTATTGCGGCATTTTTTGTTCTCAAACGCAGCTAACTTTAGCGACGCTAGTATGGCTGGCGCTTCTTGCGGCGTTTTTCCTATCTCCGCAAGTGCTTTTAGCGGCGTCTAAAAACACCGCTATAAGACTAAAAAAGCGCCTTGAAACTCTGTTTTTGCTGTAGTGCGTTGATGAAGCTTATCGTAGGAAAACTAGTGCACTCAACCAGGCTGGTGTTCTAGGATAAGAAAAGCAATTTTGTGTTTCTTTTTCTTTTCCATACAAAAGATAATAATTATGTCTACGTGCCTCCACATCAAATTAACATATTAAGATTACTGGGTGACAAATCAAATAAAAAATACATGCCATCAAAGTGAAAAACCTGCTTCAAAAACTAAACCATGTAATTTTCGTCGCTAAAACATTGATTATAGTGGACTATATCAGATAGATATATATATATATATATATATATATATATATACACACACAATAATTATGTGTCTGTCTTTCTGCAGCCAATTGGTATAAACAGCTTTGGGTGGCAAGTCAAATCAAAATAAAAAGCCATAAAAGTGAGCAAACCTGCTCCGAAAGTAAATAATGAATACGTTCGTAGCTAAAACCCTAGAACATCGGTTTTGTGATCTGTGCAAGGAATGGATAAAAGCGTTGAAATATTTAATGTCCACGTACGATCTGCATCAGGAAAACAAATAAGCAATTCATATGGAGGATCCTCTCATAAATTTCAACAGCCACTTCCACAACAACCTTTATTTACGACAAAGTAAAAGAACACCAACCTCTATGCACCGCTAAGTAATTCTTGTGGGTAAACCCTAATTAACCTAGTAGGAAGCAAAAATTAAATGGATGTTTAAATCTAATAAAGAAGGGTTAGGTTTCTCCTTTTAGTTAGATAGGTTTCAAATTCGAAGTTAAAACATCTGCAGATTTTTGGGTAACTTTTATAGTATTAAATTACTTGCTTTTTTTCTTCTGGAAATGATCACTGCCTGCCTGCAATAACCATTGATTCATCATGTGTTATCAGAATGTGAACCGAAAGTTCTATAAAAGAGAGTAATGGAGACCCATCAACTTATTTAGGTCGATTAATGGGTTCAGTTCAAAATATTTATTAGTTAATGTTAATTTTGAATTTAGACGACCCATATCTTTTAACATGGCAAAGAGCAGGTCTGGTTACGCTTCCATGCAAGGTTGATTTGAAATTACTGGGAATTGCTAGCTTGCCGGTTGAGATCTTGAGAACCAAGTCAGGAAAGATATAATTATCTATGTGTTATCCTTTTAGAAACTTTTTTTTGGAATCTATCAAATTTTCGTCAAAAAAATCTTTGGAAGATAACATCCTTTAAGCAAAATAAAGCCTCCATAAGTCCCCCGAAGACTCTACCATCTTTGGAACCACTCTTTGCTAGGAGTAATCTCATCCTCATTGATCTCTAACATGACCTTTGACATAACTAAATTTTACAGTTGATAGTTTTATCTGTAGAGTCTGTCGGCCTATCATATCTACAGGTAATCACGCATAATTACCCCAGGTGACACCAACCGTTAAAAGATCAATATACCCATCAAACCAACCTGATAAAGGACTCTCTCTCTTAGTTCTCTGATCGACATTATTCGTCTTCTCTCACAAGTTATCTTTTTCTTTTTTTCTATTACAAAAATAATCGGTTGACGATCATTCTTACACCGACACTCATTATTCAAATTAGAATAGATGAATCATTAATGACCGACAAACTTTTTTCCTATCGACATGTAAATATAATGATAATTGCTATGGGAGTAATATTGTGTTGACAAAGCAAGTAATTAACCGAGGACGGCAAACTCATTAGTGGTTAGTGCAACAAGGCAAGGCTCCTATAATTAATGCGCAAACACCTGGTGGTAACGCTGAAATAACTTATTTGTTCCTCGAGAATTTGACAACTACTGCATTCTCATGAATGTTCTTCACTATTCAACACCCAACTATTTAAAACATGTTATGCACATGCATACAGTCAATAACTAATTATTAATAAAATCATTAGACGTAATGATTCTCTTCTTACCACATCTTTATAAACAACGTACTACCCATTTTAAAATTTTATCCTTAAAAAGAAAAACTAAAACCTTTAATATTAGGTAAAATACATTAGAAATCATTAAATTATATCTAAATGATCATTTTGGTCATCAAAATTTTAAATATTATAAAATAATCATTAATTTACCACATTATTATAAAATACTCTCTATAATGTTATAAATAGTAATAAATTTTGATAAGTTTAATGACTATTATATAACAGTTGATAAATTTAATGGTTATTTTATAACTATTTGAAAATTTTATGAATATTTTATAACATTTGAAAGTTTAATGACTAAAAGGATCATTTTGACATAATTTATTGACCTCTATTGTAATTTACACTTTAGTTTTTAGGGAGAGTACACTAGAGGTCATTGAACTATTCTCAAATGTTCATTTTGGTCATTAAATTTATCAAAATATATAAAATGATCATTAAATTTATCAAATTGTTACCAAATGATTATTAAATTTATCAAATTGTAACTTTTGAAAGTTTAGTGACTAATATAATCATACAAGAATAGCTCAATGACTTTTGGTGTACTTTAACCTCATTTATATATATATATATAGTTTTGGTTTTCATGGCATGACTGTGTCCCTCAAACAAACACACCGAAACTCGAGCCTCCTAATGCAATGGCCAACCAAATGAACTCATTTGATGGGACCCACCCTCCTCCCTCCACCGCTCCCCGCAAAACCCTGCGTCGCCGGAGGCTCCGAGGAGGAGGACCCCCATCAACCCGTCTCCAGCACCGGCTTTCCTATAACAACAAAAACAAAAACGAAAGCAAGAAACACCTCCACTTCCCTTCTGACGCCGGAGTTGAAGATGAAGCCAAGTTTTCCGGCGGTGGACAAGCGGTGGAGCTATCGGCGAGGAAGCTTGCTGCTAGACTCTGGCGGTTGCGCTCGTTACTCTACGGAATTGGAGTTTTTTGCGATAGAAGTAAATCCTCCCACCGATCACGCTTTAAGGTACTCCTATATATAAGCATACATGTAACATACATATACATACATGTCTTTAAAAGTATTGTTGCTTGAATCTCTTTTCAAGAACTCGAAGTCTTTGAAAAAGGGAGCAATTAAGAGGGAGGGTAGATGCTTGAAAGCATCACCGCCTTGTTCATCAAGTCAGACGATCAAGCTCCTCGAAGAACAACTCAAAATTGTGTCTTTTGTATCTGCTCTGCAAGAAAAAACTAGTGCAAGCTCACTTATACATTAACGATCTTGAATATGAAGTGCTGTCCGTACCTAGAGAGGAAGCTTGGAGAAGAAAGAACGTCACAGCAGAGAAAAGAACATGACAAGATTTGTGCACTTATTGATGATTTGAAGGGTCGATTGATCAGGGAAAGAAAAAAGCAACAAAAAATGGACGTTTGCGATTCTCAACTAATAAAGCAGCTGGCCGAAGCTAAAATATCGTCAATGCAATCGGTTAAAAAATACGAGGCAGAAAAAAGAACCAGAAAGTTATTGGAGGAAGCCTGTCGTGAATTAGCTAAAAAGAGTGGAGATGATGAGGCCGTTGTTGAATCCATGAGAATAGAGACAATGAAAATCCGAGAAGGGATAGAAGAAGAAAGAAATATGGTACACATTGCTGAGGTTTGGCGCGAAGAACGTGTCCAAATGAAGTTGATCGATGCTAAGTTGGCTCTTGAAAGTAAGTACTCTCAGTTGAACAACCTGATAACCGGCCTTGAAACTTTTCTCTCGTCAACAAGCCTGATTATGAGAGATTTGAGGAAAGCTGAAGTGATTGTACAACTACAGGCCGTAAAAGCAGTTAGTATTCAAGAACCACGGCAAATAGAAGTACAGGATGCAACTGCCATTGAAGCATCTCCAAATACAGGAAGTAATGGAGAATGCTCGATATCTTCAGGACAGCCAAAGCTGCGAACATTATACGCAAGTAGTAGTGAAGCCTATAACGTAATAACCGATGAGGGTACTAAAGGACGGCTTTCAAGTGGAAGGGTTTCCTGTCCGAGAACATATCTTCCCTATAGAAAGTCTATTAATGGTAGTCTTAAGCACCAGAAGCCAATGGCACAGTATGATTCTACAGACTTGGTAAATCCCCACGTAACTCGAGGCATGGGAAGGAGCATTTGACACATCTTCCCTAGAGTTCTCATCATCATAGACTCACA